GATAAGTGACTTCTTCCGTCCTATTTGGTAATATTTTAAAGCAATTAGATTGATCCTAATGGTTGATCTTTCGCAACGAAAATTTTCCTTAATCGCCTCAGCTCCTACTCTCGACGATTAAGATCTGCAAGAAGCAGGCTCATTATTGTCATGGCGAAATTAATAGCCGTTACTATGCTAGGCTATATGAGATTTGAAAATGAACGTTTTTGAGTATGTAGTTCGAGGATCTGAGAAATTCAGCTTATTGCTGTGACGGATGATAGGACATCGAAAGGGGATAGACATATATTTTCCACTATCACCGACACAAAATAGGCTAAAGCAGTCGAATGCCTACGATTGAATCTCTGTGTAGGATCTCGAGGTATTAAATCGCTTTTGCCAATCTATGTGGTATGAAGAAGAGATAGCTTGGTTTCGGGGTAAACAGTTATTGATAACATTAGCAAATATTAATTTCGTATTTTGAGAACAGACTCATGCTCTTGTCAACCATTGATCTCCATCTTATCGCTGACCAGACTCTCATTTCTTTATCTGATTATGAAGAGTAAATGGGTTTCGATGAATCTTTTAAAATAACATTTCTAATAGACTATATCGCTATTTTTGTTATTTTTATCCTCCCTTATTCGTCTCTAACCATTTTCATCATGCTCGGTCAAGGCCTACGTGGTATCCTGGAGCAGCCGAACACTGGTTTTCTAACCATCGTTGAATCACTCAAATACTGTGAAGTTGGCTGGTACTTGAAAAACCCAGCATATCCAGTATGGGTTCTCAGCTCCGAAACGCATCTAACCGTACTTGCCTCCACGGAGCCGAACTTGGTGTACCGAGAGGCTGTCCTCTCAGTGGGTTAGTCGAACGACAGTTAGATTAGCCTATAGCTACTACTACAAGGGCATCCCTAGAGATGCTTAATTTCCACGTCCTTATCCCAATTTCACTGGTTTCAAAGTTGTGTTTGCTTTTTCCAAAGAGATCATTCATCGTTTACATTTGTGAAAATTTACTTATAGGTCTTTATCAAAACAGGTAATTAGGGGAATGAGTTATTTTGATCCTTAATAATTTATTGTTTAATCTAATCAACTTAACCCAATATACTTGGAAGACAAATGAACTGAGTTGAATAGTCAGCATTTCCAAATCCAGGATGGAAGTAGAGTCTTCCCATAGTGGAACTCATTGTTCATTCTCACTAGTCATTACGCTATATTTGATTCTGATAAGACCACAGCCCCGCAGGCGAATATGGATTACTGGTGGTGTTGATATACCATTCCTATCGGAAGATTTAGAGGCTTTCTATTTGGCAGCTGTTTATATAATCATATTGGCGAGAAGACTTTCATTTCCTATGACAGTGCATGAAGAAAGATTCGTATTTTAGTCGAATATAGGAAGGCCAGTATGGTGTCCTTTGTATGGTCGTGGTCTCCTTTCGTTGTATAGAGGTTGTTTGGCCTTGTTTTCGCAACTTTGTCATATTGGCAGGAAGACATAGAGGAACGTACTTTGTCCGGAGTCCATAGTATACATGATAATTTCCAGAATAGTTCCGTGGACGTCATACATTCCCGACGTTTCGCCGGCATTGTCAGT